TTATAAGCTTTGCACCATGGTGGAGTCATCGCTTCCTCTTTGACTTTGTAAGCTTTTTTTTGCACATGGCACAATAGCAACTAATTCCTTTGATGAGATCAAATGACCTTTTAAATACTCTCTCATGAAAATTATATATATATATATATATATATATATATAAGATTTCTGATTAGTTCTGATATGGGAAAGATTAAGATTGACTTATAAGAGTCATGAGTGTGCTACTATTAACTTCAGCTTATAAAGATCTGATAGACCAATTAGCCCATTAGACCCAGGCCATGACAATATATATATATATATATATATATATATATATATATATATATATTATCATGAATATATATATATATAATATAATATAATATAATATTTGAAGGATTCTAGTCTTCATTCTTGAAAATCTTTTTTGAAGTGGTTCTTTTTTATTTGTTGTGGAACTTGAAACTAGAAATGCATAAGGAAAAAGGGGGGAAAGTATTCAATTGCTTGGATCATGATGAATTGTTCGATTAACGAGCCTAAGTTTTTCATGAAAAAATACTATTGTGTACAACAATATCATGAATTTGTATCAATAAACATTTTCTACATGGATAATTAAGTTTGATGCATCTGTTTTGCGTTACTAAACACTACATATTAGTGGTTGCAGAATGATTCAGTTTTTCTCTCTTTAATTTCCATGAAATGTAATGTATTGCATCGAATGTCAAAATCACATGTTTCTTGTTTATAATGAATCACTGTAATATGGAAAATAATAACAAATACTATTTGAAATTGCATGAAGAAATTGATTGGGTAGAGAACTTAGCCACCCTGAAGAACAAAAAGAATGTGTGTTTTTCAAAAAAAATATTTTCTATTTATTATATCAAACAACAAATAAGATATTCTCATATAGACTCGAGTATAAGACATATCAATAATACAATAATACACTAATTATTTGGATGTCTCAAGTTATATAAAAAAAAAGTGTGTTAGCAGTCCATTCTACACTACAAATCTGCTTCTCTTTAATCTAACTTAACAAGACAATTAGAACATCAAGGAAATTGGTGATTACATATCTATATACCGAGTGAAGGCCCAAGGCAAAGTAATTTTTACATTCTCTCTTTTCCTTCTCAAATGTGTTGATTCAAAGTTATTGGGTTTTCTCTCTATCTGCTTAAGCTCTGATATACTAACAAAAATTTTGATTAATATTTTTTGTAATCTAATTAAAATATTTATCATGGCATCAGAACAGATCGTAAGTTCTAAATCTTCATCCGGTTCAATCAATACTTGTGTAATGTCTTCATGAACTAAGTCGAGATTAACTTTGTATGTGAGAAGGTGTGTTAAAATTCATATATATATAGAACCATTTCTTATCAGTTTAAGCTCTGATGCCATGGTAATCTAATCGTGATTTTTTGGTAACCCAATCAAAATCTTTACCACTTTTGATAGTTAATATGTCAATATTAGAACCTTCATCATTAATCAACTCCATACTTTATTGTACATTAGATATATATATGTATATATAACATGGAAAGTTACACACAACAAAAACTATCATCTAGTTGTTTCTTTCAGACCCATGGTTGTCGATGACATTTAGTGACCCGGTGCACATAATGGGGAAGAAGGGAGAAGGTTACTCCAAGGAGAGAAGCTTTGCAGGGATTATGACGATAATAGTGATATAAGTGTTCAGCAGCTCAACGAAGTGTTGGAAATCCCAAAAGTCATTAGAAGTCAAATTATGATTTTAATTGTATTATTATGACGATAATAGTGATATAAGTTACATAACATTGATAATAAGATAAAATAGTTTTTATTAGTTATTGATAATCTATGAATTATACATTCAATTCATAGGTTTTTTTTTTGCTAACATTAGTGGTATTAAAGTCATATTTCATCCGTGTTGTTCATAACATACAATGTAAATTTTGAGATGTTTTTTTGATGGAATAGATTTATTTGATTTGATCGTAAATTTTATTCTAATCGGTATTTTAGCTCTTCTTATTTCACAATCGATTTTTCATGTTTGTATTTTTTATTATAATTATTACATGGCAATGGAAAAAATCAGCAGCACCCACACATTCTCTACACAGCAAGTAAACAATAAACGAAAAAGGCAGTGAAAGTAGACATGTTGGTAAGAGAATGGTAGATGAATGGTGCAGGTGGTCATGTGATGGAGGGGAAGTTTCTTGTAGTTCTGTGAGGTGTGAGTTTGTGCTGAGGTGCTACTTGTTGATGTCACTATTAAATGAAGCATGATGACATACACTAGAAGAAAAATCAGAAGAGAAGGTGAAGTAATCATAGATGTGTCTTGACATGAGGCACAGATGACAAGAACAAGGAGAGGTTTAGTTTAGTCATCATTCTTGACTCCATTATTAAGAAGACTTTGAGTGCATTGACTGCAAGGGCCTTCTTGTGTTCCTGGAGTTGGAACATGGATAGTTAAGATGATAGATTCTTCATATCGTATCTATTACATAAGCCAAATCTTCAAGGACAAATTGGTTGCTTCCCTAATTGAAACATGGATTGGAATCAAGCAACCATTAATAAAGAACTGTAATGAAGAAGACCATCCTAATCTTCTTCACAATGACACTTGTTAGCTAAAAACCAGACAAGTAACAGCAAAAATATATGTTATTTCACAATGTAATGTTCTCTAAATCAATGGTTCTTTGATTTATATCTATGCATTGATATTTGCCCCAACCAAGGTGTGACATGATGGTTGCTACATGAACTGGTTTCAGAGATTTCCATGGTATCATGTTGGCTAATTGAAAAAAAAACATAGGAATTATGTGTTTGCATTATGAACATGACATTAATCAGTCATTTGCGTATAGTCTTTTCTTAATATCACTATCCAAGTAATATTGACATCATTCTGATAGAAGCATGTGAATGACTAAATTAAGCATTGGCATCCATCATTGTCCAAGGATCAAATCTGCAACAGTATAAGATAAGACCTACAGCTTGTCTCCATTGACCTACTGGAGTCAGGTCAGGATCTGCAATTGCAATGCAATTGCAGGAAGAAGTGGATTCATCAAAGATCAATTATTTTGGCTTGGGAAGACTTGCTGTGTTGGTTGGTCACCAGCAGATATTAAATATGGTGGTTGGATTAATAAGAAGATTCACACATCCATCTGATTGTTGGTTGTGTTCACATGTTCATGAGCTTAAACCCATTGATGCAATTGTGTCGTATATATTTTTAATTTTTTTTTAATTTTGTCAAAAAAAAAAGATGTACTCAACGTACGAAGCTCCCGTCAATACTGGGTCTAGGGAGAGTCAATATACATAATCTTATCATTAAATATTAAAAAAATATTTTCATGACTCAAATCATGATCTCTTAAGTCTTAAAGGAGCAATCTTACTATTATACCAAAAAGGCTCGAACCCTATTTCCTGATTTTTATGATAGGAAAGTTATATTAAATTAATAACAAAATTACTAAAATCCTTTCTCTTTAATCATCTGACATCTCCCATATCTCTTTCTCTCTCTAATATCTTCTCGACTTGATCATCTTACCTTAACGAGTGTATTTTATGTAACATACAATGACATTAAACATAAATATAAATTTTCAATAAATGTTGTTATGATCGTATACACAAATATATGTAGAGATGTGTGATTTATTAGATTTTTTTTTTATTACTAGAGTGCATCCATGTTTTTTTTTTTTTTTTATGGTAAAACACTCTTTTTTTTTTTCGGTTCGATCTAATCAACTTCTCCTTTTGAATCAAACCAATAGATAGAAGATACATTGCATATGTATAAATATAAATACAAATGTAATATCATTTACTCACATTTTTTCTTCAAGGATCCAAGTAAAAAAAGGATATACTTTCTTTTTCCTTTTTGTTTTTTCTTTGGATACTCTTTTGGTTCATCTGATATTTTGGTCACAGGACTTGGTCCCAGTCATGCTTGGAAATAAGGTTGTAGAGAGGACTCCCACATTTTGACCCTGAAGAAATGCCCCACAAGTCCATCAATCTGCATGAAGCTTCCAGTTGGGATTTATGAAAACCACAGCCAATTCATGGGATGAAAGAAAAATCAAATTATAAATCACAGAGAAAATTTTAGTCATATGTTATTATGTTGCAAAACTTAAACTTAGAAATATGATTTCTCTCTCCAAATGCATTATCTTAAAGATCTTTCATGAAAGACCATATTATAGAAAAGTAAATAAATTCAAAAATCTTTCCTATGGAATACTCCTTTTTAGCAATCCATCTTAACATTAATTAAATGGGTGTGTATACCTACTTGCTCAATTAATTCTTCCTTATTTAAGGATACCCAATTCGAATTTAAGCATGCGAAATAGACAAAGCAAACTTTAGAAAACCTGATTCATTGCCATTATCATTTACCGATAAAACGACAAAATATATCATACTTAAAAATTCCACTGCTGGTGAAGAAAATGAGGTATATTAGTCTTAGAAGTAGAAATCTTCTCCAGTAAGTGATACACACAAGGACTAAGTCATCTGGTTTACAAATTCAACATCTCAATTTACTTTTGTGCATGTCTTAAAGATCTGCACTATCAATTTGACTATCTAGAAAAGTCCAGTTAATTTATTGTTGTTAACTTTTAGATCAATTTCCCTTGATAAACTTTTAGGTCAAGTTGATCTGCTTGATGCACAGACTAATGGCAGCAGCTAACCTGTTGCTTGTTCTTGAGACATTCCAAGACAGTAATCTATTGCCAATTTATGTCTTTGATCATCAACTTATTGTGGAACACAAGAAATCTATGGATTATAAGTTCAGTGACCTGTTAATTTGACATCCACAGTAATTGCAGAACCAACTGAAGCCTTAGGATTAAATTTTGAAGTCAAGCGGAAAAAATTGACTCTCATCAAGAACGAGAAAACAAGAGAAGAAAGAGGGGGCAAATGGGCGATGACTGATGAGATTGACTTGGAAATCACAAAAGAAGGTATCATGTTTTGGCTGTTTCCTTCTCCCACTTCACACACAAAGCCAAACCTCCTTTTACCTCTCTCTCTCTCTCTCTTGTCTTCTCTTATCCAGTTTGATGTGCGGTTGAAGGGTGATGACACTTGCATGACATCTCCATGAATGAGGCAAACATTGAGATTGTTCTACAAATTCATTGCCCCTCTTTTCCTGACAGATTCCTCTCCAAGTCTGCAAGACCAATGCAAACTTCTCTACATAAGTAGCTGCTTCATTCTACTCCTTGTTCCTCTCATATTGGCCTTCGAACCATTGATGGATTCAGAATGGATCAATCCATCTCTTAGCCTCGACCTCAGCATCGGCCGGTCTCCTGATCAAGCTTCGGTAAGTAACTACATGCTTATGATCAATCACCACCATGATCAACATCATCTGAAACCATGCGAGATCACCGTCACTGCAGAACGGAGACTTAGAAGCCAAGCTGAATGAACTGAGCGAGGAGAACAAGAGGCTAAACGAGATGGTCAAAGCCATGTATTCCAACCACACAGCTCTTCACCATCAGTTGATGGACCTCACAAACTCAGTACCCCCGGCGAAGAAGAGGAAGAGGATGAGGATGAGTGCCAACATGACCAGTATCTACACGACTTCCATGAGGATCGATGCATCCAGTTCGAGACTGGTGAGTAGCGTAGCTCTTCACGCTGTTTTTTGCAGGAACGTAATTGCAGCAGCATGAATTAACTTGCCTCATGTCGTGTGTGTGTGTTTTAGGTGGTGAGAGATGGCTATCAATGGAGGAAGTATGGGCAGAAGGTTACCAAGGACAATCCATCTCCAAGAGCTTACTTTAGATGCTCCTTTGCCCCTTCATGTCCTGTGAAGAAGAAGGTACCAACACATCTAACATTTCTTCTTCTTCTTCTTCTTCTTCTTCTTCTGGACATGTTAGGAATTAGAGAATCAAAACCTCAATATTTCTTCATTTTAACGTATTCTTTTCTTTGATGACCAATTAAATTTGATGAACATTCCAGCTGTTTCTTTTTTCCAGTTTTATATCTATTTTATTACATATCTGTAAAATAATAAGGAAATATGATGTTTCTCAAACATATTTAATAGTTTTTATACAATTTGTACAATACAAAATTATAGAAACCCCACTGATTTCAACTATGAAATGTTATTGTAAATGAAATGAAACAGATTGATCACAAGTTGTGCAAGTCTCGATGTGCAGAAGAAAACATTCCTAAACACTTGAACAGATGAGACCGGGCAACTTCCACTGATCATTAAAGTGATGCAACTGACTCTTGTTGGTCATCCTTGCTTGCCGCAGGTGCAGAGGAGTGCGGAAGACAGCTCAGTGTTGATAGCTACTTACGAAGGTGAGCACAACCATGATCCGCCAACCACGGAGAACGAGTCGCTCCCTTGCTTCGTCTCTCTCAGTTCTTCGGACTCTGCAGTCGCCCTGGATCTCAGGCCACGAGGATTCAGGTCTGAAGTTGAGTGTGTCGAATTCCAACGAATCTTGGCGGAGAAGATGGTCTCATCATTGACTCGGGATCCAAGTTTTGCAGAAGCGCTTGCAAGTGCGATCTCCGGAAGAATGTTTCAGCATCTGCAAGCTCAAAGCTGACCGGAAGTGATTTTTCTGGGGCAAGAGAAATCACTGCCAGTTACTTCTTGGAATAAGAGTCGGATCGAAGAATACAGAATCGGAGTTTCCAAGTTATCAGCAGATTTGATTAAGTCGATGTTTCTCAGGGGAAATTGGGTTAATTATCGCAACAACAACAAAAAAAAGCATAATGAAGTTATCCAGTCTTGTAGTGACGATTGCAAGTCTTATCAATATGATAGATAATTCATCATTTCTATTATAACTAAACGTTCGTACTACAATTGTAGCAGTAAAATGAAACTTAGTAAACTCTGGTTAGAAATGTGGCGTGTCCCATTTCGGATGGTGCAGTTCGGTCTTCGAGGAAAGGTATAGATAGATAGGACTGTCGTTGACGAACCTCTTGAAGAAACCAATATACCGCAAAGCTGATTGAACAGAAGTGAGCAATCCACGAAGCAGACATGAAATGGTCAGCTCCACTTTGTTGTCTAAACAAAAGGGAGGGAAGAACAATCAGAATGTCTCGAGTCAATAGCTGAGAAGATCTAACATAAGCAAATAAAATTAGAATGCAGTCTATGAGAAACTATTTTTCCTGTAGAATGAATATCCAGGATTCTACCAGGAAAAAGGCACCTCCATGATCATATCAAAGAGAAGTAATTTTCATGTTCATTCTTCAAAATACAACCATATAGCCTTTCAGATATTTGAATTTTACCAATTAGCTAAAACTCCCACCACAAGTTATTTGGGGTTATAGAGAAATCATTTAAGAGAAAGATGAGAATGCATATATGGAGATCAAAGAAATCCTTCAAAAATCCTCGTAAAAGATTCTTTATAATCATCCATGATAATAATATTTTGGGATATGAATTATTTGGTACTGAGGTGATTAATTGTGATTAATTAATTGTTACACGGATTAACTCATTTTAATTATTGACATAATTAGCTCTAATATAACAACCCGACTATTAATCCTTAGATTATTATTATTATAATAATTGAGATAAGAAATAGTTTTGAGTTAGTTTAATTTTATCAATTACACACAAAACAATTTTAATTTCAGAAAACAGTTGAAAACCGACCCAAACCCACTAAGCAAACCTCAACGGGCAACACAGGAATCAACGGTCGGTAATGCTTCTTCCACCGGCTTCACCTTTCCGGAGCGTAGGATCTTTATAACGCCTCGAGCAAGGCCAGAGGGGCAAGAACAACACCAAGCGGTAGCGAAGCGGCGCCGAAACCCTTGTTACGCCTTGCCTCCCACTCTCTATCTCCCTCGCCTTCTCCCCGATCTCCGGGCTAACACCTTAGCCGCTTCGATCCCACCTCCGCTCCAATGGCGGAAGGATCGGCGGTGGCGGATAAACCGGAGTGTGCCGCGGCCCCCGCATCCGGGTTGTCTCGGGTGGAGAGCCTGTTCCATAGGAGGATCGAGTTCCACCCCGCGAGGAAGCCGTACTCTTCCTTCTCCAGTTCTGATGGGGATTTCCGCCTCGAAACCTTGAACCCCAGATTGGGTCTCGACAGGCCGGCGGTTAGCCGTGGAGGGGCCTTTCAGGCCGGGGCGCCTTCTCCTGGGAAGCGATCGGGGGAGAGGGAGTTTTATGAGCACAGAATGGATCCTGAGCTTAGCTTTAGTATCACCTTCCGGAGAATAGTAAGTTTGTTGGGTTCTCGTGCAATTTGATTGAAACCTCGTTTAAGGAGGAACGAAGCTGTAGCTTCCGATCATCTATTGCTGCAATTTGTTGATGATGGGTTATTGTTTCTGATTCTGTTCTGTTCCTAATGTTTATTGGACAAAACTTGCATTTCTTTTCTTCCTTTCCTCAAATCATCTTCCTATGCATTTTGTGGTGATTGTTTAAGGATAATGTACTTCTACTCTAAGTTATTATGTCCGTTTACAATTTTTTGATATTTATTTATTTTGCCTTGAATATGAACCTTTTTTTTATCAATTCTGATATGTGAACTTATGAAAATTGTGTGTCTTACAGGGTGCTGGACTAGCAAATCTTGGCAACACTTGTTTTCTCAATTCAGTCCTCCAATGCCTGACGTACACTGAGCCCTTTGCTGCTTATTTGCAAAGTGGAAAGCATAAATCTTCTTGTAAGTTCTTTTTCCTACTCATTTATATGTTTTATTTAGGTGGTGTATTCTCCCACATCACCGTGCTTTTATTCATCAATTTTACATGGGCCACCGAAGTTGCCTACACAATATTTGCTTTCTTTCTTAGAATAGGTAAGTACACTAGGAATGCAGGTTAAGAATTTATGTGATGTGGTGTCATGTTAGTAATATACATCTTGTTTCCAATTAATCTTTATCTAATAACAACAACAACAACACAAAGCAATATCCCTATTAACCACAGTTTTTTTGCCAAACTTTTGATCTTGCTTTCCTGTTTAGTTCTGAACTCTATTTCTTTGGAAATTTCTTGTGCTAGTTTTTGTAATCAAAATGGACAAAACTGCCTGTTTGTTCCCTCTTTGTATTTTATTGTTGCCATTATATTGCTAGTTGTTGTTGCACATCAATTCATATGTTCTTATTGTATTTAACATTTGTCGGTTCTCTATCTGTTGGAGAAATTTGTTACTAAAATGTCTTCAATTTTTTGTCCATAGGTCATACAGCTGGATTTTGTGCAATGTGCGCTCTTCAGAATCATGTCATCACTGCTTTACAGTCAAATGGAAAGATATTATCACCTTCTCATCTTGTCAAGAACTTGCGTTGTATCCTTTTATGCTGCACAGTTATTATTATTTTGTTCTCTACAAAATGTTTCCTCTAATAAAATTATTATTTTGTTCAACCACCAGATTCAATGATTATTTAATTTTAAATTAACATCTTAGATAGTGACCTTGTTGTTCTGTTTTTTAGTTTAAAATGGCAAACCTTAACTCCATCTTAGGCATATCACGCAATTTTCGCAATTCCAGACAAGAGGATGCACATGAATACATGGTTAACTTGCTTGAATCCATGCATAAATGTTGTTTACCATCCGGAGTCCCAAGTGAGTCGCCTGGTGCTTATGAGAAAAGTTTGGTGCACAAGATATTTGGTGGCCATCTCAGGAGCCAGGTAACTCTATGGATTTGCAATTATAAATATGCAATTTTAATGCTTATTTATTGGTATTAGATAAAGGATCTAATTGTCTTAGGAGACACTTCCCCTGAAAGGAAAATCTAAGCAAACAAATCCAGTCTGTAATGTCAATGTTACTATTCCTTTGAATGGAGAATTTTTTTTTTGGACATTTGAAGTCTCATTTATAAAAGTCCATTATGGCAAAACTTCTTGAGTAATTGGTGAACTTAGAGCTTGCATGCTTGAAGAATGCGATGTGACCTTAGCCATGAATTGTTCCTGAGGCATGATTTTGTGCATACTAAAGCCTATCTGGGAGAATCCCTTAGCTTACAAACAATCTCTCTCTCTCTCTCTCTCTCTCTCTCTCTCTCTCTCTGTCTCTCTCCCTCTTCCAAAAACACATATATGGTTTCCAGAGCATTAGGAGGTTATGCCAAAAAATATGCCGACTTTGATTGTAAAACCTAATATAACTTAATGTTTAATGAGACAACTGTGGTTTAAAAGATGGTCTTTGATTATAAAGAACTAGAACATAATGTTTAATGAGACAACTGTGGGTTTTACAAACTTTGGTGAAACCCAAGTGTAAAAGATGGCCTTCATATTTTGTTCAAAAAGTACATTGGTAACCATTCTCACCAATGTCTGCTTTAAATTTCACCTCCGTTCTCATTTTATGTTTATATCAAAGTCAGCCATTTAGGATCTGTTCTTATTGTTTTTTGTCTCGTTCCCTTTGGATTGTTGAAATACCTGTAAGTTACAAGACAATGCACTTTTTTTTTTGCAGGTTAAATGCACACAGTGTTCCTACTCTTCCAGTAAATTTGATCCCTTCGTAGACTTGAGCCTTGAAATAGCAAAGGCTGATTCTTTGTGGAAGGCACTTACACATTTCACTGCTGTCGAGCAATTAGATGGAGGTGAGAGGCAGTACCAGTGCCAGCACTGCAAGGAGAAAGTTAGGGCCTTAAAGCAACTTACTATTCACAAGGCCCCATATGTTCTCACTATCCATCTCAAACGTTTTAGTTCTTATGTTCCTGGTCAGAAGATCGACAAAAAAGTGGATTTTGAGCCCACTCTTGACTTGAAACCTTTCCTCAGTGATCAACATGTGTGTAAATATTTAAGTAGTGATTCTTCCATTATAAAAATGCTAAATATTTCTGTTTAGATCTGATTATTTATCCATTCTTGATATTTTGCAGGGTGGAGATGTAAAATACACCCTTTATGGTGTATTGGTGCATGCGGGTTGGAGTACCCACTCTGGACACTACTTTTGTTATGTTCGCACCTCAAGTGGCATGTGGCATTCTCTTGATGATAACCAGGTCTTATTATTTACTGTGTCTGATGATGTGTTGTTATATACATGCAATTCTGTAGATAAACTGATAACAGAGAAAGTTAAGTTTGGATGACTATATTATGTACTTTTGCAATGGACATTCAACATTAGAACAGGTTTATCTGATCTCCCTCCTGATGGAAGAAACTATCATATGGTGCTTTTTGACGTTTGTTTGCTGTTCTTCCTTTCATGGGGTGAAAGGAAGAAACATGTTTTCTTTGGAAGGTATTTGAAAAATGCATATTGAAAGCACTTGAATATGGAGGATACTAACAGATAATACAAGAAAGATAAATTAATTGCAGAACATTAATCAGCATCCGTCATGCAGATTTTTCTGGGGTCATGGGGTGGAAGGAAGAAACATGTTTTTCTTAGGTAGGCATTTGGAAAATGCATATTGAAAGCACTTGAATATAGAGGATACTAACAGATAATACAAGAAAGATAAATTGATTGCAGAGCATTAATCAGCATACATTATGCAGATTTTCTTACTCATGATGGGGAGGAAGGAAGAAACATGTTTTTCTTAGGTAGGTATTTGGAAAATGCACATTGAAAGCACTTGAATATAGAGGATACTAACAGATAATACAAGAAAGATAAATTAATTGCAGAGCATTAATCAGCATACATTATGCAGATTTTCCTACTGGTCATTGATGAAAGTTCATTTTTGATATGCTTTTTCTATTAACAATTGTGTTCCTCTGTTGATTCTGTCAAACATTGATTTGCAGGTTGGCCAGGTCAGTGAAAAGACTGTATTAGCACAGAAAGCATATATGCTATTTTATGTCCGTGACAGAACTTCTTTGCCAAAGGGATCAGTCAATATGGTCCACAAAGATAACATTTCTGCTAATGCTACTGAAAGGAAACTGATTCCTGAATCATCCTTGGCCCTAAATGGGGCACTTAAGAATTGTGTCAGAACTTGTAGCACCAATGTTCAATCTGGTTCAGTAAAGGACACTTTGTCACTTCACCCTTTGCCTCAAGCAATTTTGACTTTGCAAAAAAGTAAAACCCCTACTTTGTATGAAGTTCCAGAAGTGCAAATTGACAGAGAGGCAATAGGAAGAGAAACTTCCACTTTGCAACCAGATGGAGATTCCTTGCCAGAAGGATTACAGCAAACAACATCAACATCTGTAACCCTTCAGGTGATGAGAAAAGATTTCATGGTGGAGGAAGCTAAAGCCACTTGTAGAATTGATGCTACTTTTATCCTTGGAAGTCATCAATCAGATGATGAAAGATGTCAAATATCTGGGAGCACTAATGGAGAGGTGAAGTCAGTTGGGGTTATTGCTGTTCTGAATAACTCTAGCTGCACTCGCCCGAAGTCTCAGAAACATGAAAACAAACTTCTCAAAGAAAGACATATGGCTAAGGTAACTTCAAAACTGTTTCATGTTACTTATGCCAGATGCTGGTTGTGTGCAGCCGCACTTTGTCTGACTTGTCACCTTATCCAATCTCAGGACAATGATGCTGAAAAAGGAATTTTGCAGACGCACGATATGCTTTGCAATGCAGTAAATGGCATACCTGAAGAAAATCGAAAAATCAAACTTTTAAATGGATTTACTAGGAAGGAAGCAAATGGCAGAGCACCAGTGGGAAATCTGGTATAGTTTTGTTGTACTTTTTCTTCGAGATCCTGTTTTTTGCTATTTTGAGTATTAATGTTTTCCTTGTTTGCTTGGCCAGACCACTCATCACAATGAGTGGTGCTCATCTAGCATGCTATCCCATGTGGAAAACCTTCATAAGCAGGAGAAGCCAAGGTTGGTTAATTTGCCAAAGAGACTAGACACTGCAAACAGCTTTGTTCAGGAGGATACTTTTAAAGACGACAGCAGAATAGACAATTTAAAGCAGCTGAAGCCAAAGAAGATTGCTAAGCGTCCGTTAAGAGGCATTTGTTTTGGCCGGAACCATATATTTTTTGCTTCTTTAAATCTGCACAAGATTAAGAAAGTTAGGAAAAGCAAAAAACAGCCTTCAAGTTATAAAATATTGCTAAAAGATATTCCTGATGATATCAACACAAATGATCTGGCTGCATCCACTTCTGAGGCCACTGTACGTGAGCATTGTCATGAGAAACACTGCCGATCTGGACTGGTAGAAGACAATAATTCCAAAATGGTGAAGAGTGGGAACTATTGCAATGGTGAATCACTTAGTTCTACCAATAGAGGTGATAAGTTGAAGAATACTAATAAGAATGTAACACTTGATAATTTTGGCTTACCAAGAAGTTGCTTGAGTTCTGCAGAAAAATTGCTTAGCTCGAGAGCCACATATACAGATGACAAAGGTATCCATCATGATTTTATGAACCTGCTGATGGGGGAGTTGAAAGAAACTACTGGTGAATATCTGCAATATCTGGTTTTACTTGTCAGCCATTACATTTTTTGTTCTTATAATTGTTGTTGCTTACTAATCATTTGCCACATTGGGGATGCAGTTTCAAGATGGGATGATGTAGAATTGCCTAAATTGGAACTTAATGGGCCAGAAAGCTCAAGAAATACCAGCATTGGCTATGTATTGGATGAATGGTAAGGCTCTTTCCTTCACTTCTGCATGATATTTATGGTGATCAACAAAACATGCTCTACTGTTATACCTTACAAGTAGATCCTAAATTATAGTCACTTTATCATTCAAAAGAGTATCTGGAACCTAAATGTATGATCGCATGCTTGTGGGTTTCTTCAATAAAGTGATGAATGAAGACCAATATGTAAAGTCTTGAGCTGTTAATAGTTTCGGGATTGACATAGAATAATCAAAATAGCCATAATACTGTTCCTCATAAATCAATTCTTTTAGTGTAATTTGCACTAATCTTAGTTAGCTTCTATTATGCATACCTTTAACCGAATCTAGAAAAGACGTTTGTCTACTTGCATGGCCCCTGTGACTTCAAGTCTCTGCTTTTAAAAATGCTTGTCATTGCTATGGTCTTGCTTGCTTGCAATAATTGGTCTGATGGTTTACCTTTCTTCATAGATCACTATTGTCAGCACAAGTGTAGGAATAACTAGCTTTGAAAAGACATGAACAAGAACGATGCTGAAAGATATATTCGAGATGGCTAGCATTGCTAACTTGTCATATATATTATAAATATCAGAAAATAGATATCTTGAAATAACCTATGGAAAGTGCCATTGTATTCTATATAATCAACTGTTTCTGTAGGTTCTAATTTAAACCTCAAATCAGTCCCAGACAGCTTCAGTGTCCTTGTTGAATTTATATGTTTGTTCGTTGTTTATGTTACTTCAATTTTTTTTTGTGTTTTTTGTTTGTGAAGACTCAAACATTTAAAAATTGATAGCCCTTCCATGGACCATGAGGATGGCCTGTAAACTATAGCTGATCTTTGGTTTCTAACTGTCAATAGCTATTAACAAATATGATGATGTGAAGATATACATGCACAATATGTGACTGGTTTCTTCCATATTTTTCTTTTAAGAAAAGCTAAATGGTTGGTTAATTTGATGTTAAAAAATATATTCTCGGTTCAGAGTCCAACATCTTTGATAAGTGCACTACTGATGTCTGTCTTTGGATTCATCTGTCGACCTTGACAATACTTTGCTTGGAATGGGTTAGCACTTTCCATTCTTCATAGTCATCCAAACCGGTCATCCTAACAAGTTTCTGTGGGCATTGGCTTTCGATTCCAACTAATGGTCATGCATTCTTACCCTGCAGCTTCTTGCGGTCGAATTAAATTTCATGCTATTACTTAATACATGAATTAACTCACTTGAATTGACATGCAATCTGCTACAGCTGCTCTTTCTTCAATTTCTTTTTCCTGATTTTTAAATCATCTCAGGGATGAGGATTACGACCAAGGCAAGAGGAAGAAGTTGAGGAAGTCCCAACAATCTTTTGGTGGGCCAAACCCATTCCAAGAGACTGCCAATGCGAAAGCACATCAGAAGTTAAATTCAGAGCTGGGGCAAACAAAACGAGGGAACCAACCCTTGAGGATATGAAGGCAAAAAGAGAGACAAAAAATTGCTGTAATTGTATCTCGGTTTTAGCTAATAATTAATTTTATCTTTTTTTTTTCTTTATTTCTCCGAAGATTAAGACAACTACGGATGAAACATTGTATTCACTATTCGAGAGTAAATTGCAAGTGAGAATGGCCCAAGGTGCAGGCCATTCTTTTCTTGGTTTTTAGGATACCAGATATTGGACATGGGTTTCTCTCTCTCTCAATTAATGAGATTGGAGAACGCTCCTTCTTGGCAGCCATTCGCAGAGTACATTCAACCACATCACCAGAGTCGTCAGCTTCCACATTGAGGTGGCCAACAAACCTCTGGATGGATGTCCGAGTGGAGCTTGCATTAAGTATACTATCGTCTGGACTTGTGTCTTTTTCTTCCACAACTTCTATATGATGTTCATGATCAGTACCAAGTTCCTGATGTTTGCTATTGACTCTCTTTTAACTGTTTATCTTACCAGGGGTGACGATTGGATGTCGCCAGATATCCCGAGGTGTCAACTCTTATTGATCTCGCAGGAACTTGGATTTTTCTCGTGATACCGAACAAAGCCTTCATCAAGCTGCTTCCCTACTAAAATCACAGCTGTTCGGTTTTCTTTCTTCCTGCTCTCTTCCTCGATTGCCAGACTTGAAGGGCCACATTGGCGACACGAATGTCGTTAGGTAATGGACCAAACATCGTTTCCTTTTGTGCAATAAATTATATATAAATGATACTTCTGTGTGCAGATATATATGTAGCTTTGCTAACATCCCAAAAATTGATAGTTGAATTAATCATGGGAATGCATAAATTTATTCTCTTTTTGAGCTGGTGAAAAGCCATTTGAACGTTCATGAGTTCTTGCTGGTTTATTTTTGCGCTCTAGGCATCCAGTAACAGTTTAAACTTTAGTAAAGTATAAACAATTATTATATTTATTTATAGGACTAATCATATGAACAATATCAATTAGCTGCATAAAGTATGATCGAACCTAGATATTGTATGGTCCGTTGTAACCCTAACATTGTAGTTTCAATTGATAGCAATTACATATTTAACATACGAGAAATAATCCTTCCCCAAATAGTTGGGATTTATGATTACAGTTGTTATTGTAGAAACAATCTTACTAATCGTATTGAGAATATTGATTAGCTGCGTAGAATACAATGGAACTTAGGTGTTGTATTCCATCTTGCATAGCCTTAGCAAGTATATCATATATCTTCTAACATTTTGTTTGAAGAGGATGCATGATTTCATAGTTACCAAATTTCAGCTAAAAGAATAATAATAATTGTCTGTAGAACTTTGTTTTTTTTTCCTTGTTTTCGTTGTACAATTAGTATCTGAAGCAGGAGGTGTGATTGTTTGCTTGAATGATTATATTTGGGGAAATGTGAAGAGGGTGTGGGCATTGTGGAGAGAAAAAGGAGAGAGAGAGAGAGAGAGAGAGAGAGGTGGATATCTGAGGAGAATCAACCTTTCCCAAAGCTAATCATATGTGTGGTGAGGCTTTGTCGTCCCTCCTTTAGATTGGAGAGGCAATGCAATGCGAGCCACAAGAGTTCCTTGTGCCATGCCTGTGGTCAACCCATCCCTGTCAGCCTTTGTCTTTGACTTTTGTGACCAAAGATAGGATGTAAGATTGCAGGAGACTCCTGTAAGAAGTGTTCGAGATCTGGGGATTTGACTTTGGGGGATTTCTATTGACCTGGTGGTGGACTGATTTCTTAAGAGTCAACTCACACAATACCATGTGGGTATTTAAAAAAATAAACAAAATTAAAAGGCAAGAGAATATATATATATATATATATATATATATATATATATATATATATATATATATATATATATATATATATATATATATATATATATATAGTTGATCCTAACAAGAACTCATCCAATTATCGTTACCTATACTATTGACTTCTAGGAACGAAATTATGAGTTCATTAATTATCGTCAAGCTCCTCTTCTCTGCATCCTTATTAACCTAATATGACACATGATACATCCTTTCTTTGTATATATAGCCTCTAACCTCTGTCATTGGATACCATTTTGGCTAGTATTTTTGAGTTGACATCTAAGTGTATACTTGAACCTTAATTAGTGGCAATGATAGCATTAAAACAAAAGCTCAGAGTGCTGTCCCTTACTGGCAAATTACATGTCACTTTTGCTGCTTTATGATTTTGTCTGTTCTCTAAGATTTAGTGTGCATGGAAATTTTGGGGGCTCATCATGGAAGATTTTGTTCATTAAGCTTTCTGATTTAGTGTAATGGCATATTATGTTGTCAATTCTTTTTTGTGGTTAGCAACAAAGTGGAGGATGATTTGTAGAACACACTTCATTAAGTGTGCCGCAACAGAAAATAAAATGCATCCATTAGCATCTTTGTAGTTCAGATTAATGAAAGAAAATTTGTACTTTGGGATCTGCATCGAAGAATGTATGAGCTTACAGTTGTTGATTAGTTTGACAACTTTGATTAGCTTGTTATGTTAGCTCCTAGAAGTTAATTAAGCATTAACATGAATAGATATAAAGGTCTGCATTATCTTGAGGCCCTAAGACAAATCTTATGATATGTGAAAACTATGGATTAAAAAGAATATCTTTTTGGACCCAAAATAAGACAACTTAAGAAAGTATAATATGGCTTTCACCTAATTAGTTAGTATGGTAGTGTATACCCGAGTTAATTTTCACTACTAGTGATGTCGAATGCTCGTTGAATGTCTTGTGCGATTACTATGATCACTATCTAATGTCTTATGTGATGATTATCATTTTTCTCTTGAATAATGAGCTTTATAGGATGATGTATTCACAAATTTTCTCTTCGACTCAAGTCAATATTTGTTCATATTAGATGAATGATGAGTCCAAGAAGGGATGATCATCTTATCGAGTACATAAAGAATTTATCATTTTTGTTATTTTACTTTATGATACTACAATATATCTATTTGATAAGCCAACACAATTAATATCGAACCAATATTCAACACTCTATTTAAATATATATACATGAAAAATGAAAGTATGCATAATTAGATCGAAAATGGATCAAGGAAGAGGGATGGATTAAGAAAAGCAATAGAACAATATAGCTCACCGTTGATGTGGATTCCATATGAATTCATGGACCTACTGCTAACAATTAAAGTCTAATCATTCTCATCATCGAATATGAAGACGTCACGTAAGTGGTTGATGTCATTACCTATTTATCAATATGAATCAAATCCTTCCCTTGGGGGATAAATGCCAACAAAATTTACTCGTGCATACACAAACATGTATACTGTATGTATACGATGTATATTCTCAACCTGTTCACCGATGGAAAGCGAGACAAGACAAGAAATCCGAGGTCAAACGCGTAATCATCACTCAGATCAACCTCGGAATCTGACGGATGTGATTTGTCCCCGTTGTAGACCCCACCACCCGGCCTCCAAAATAAAACGGAACAACGTGATTCCGACTCACCCTTCGCCCTCACCCAGATCGGAGCCGAGGGGGAGTCGTAACTGCCCAAAACTTGCGCAATGTGACCCACATTGAAACCAATACGAGCCAGGTAAGGTTACGGGTGAGTCAAAATAATTTGCAAAACTGCTTCACCCGCTCTCCTCTTCCCCTCGCCAGTAGTCATTAATTAACTTAATTACTTACTTAAGGATAAGGTAGTAAGAAATTAAATAATTAATCCCGAGATTAAGTTAATTAGAAAAATCCCAATATAAGTTACGAAGCATATCACGAAATGCTCGTCTCCCCCTGCTCACCACCCTCTTGCATCTCTGTCGACTCCGACACGATACTTCTTTTCCGGCTTCTTTTCCCTCCCCAATCCCAAACCCTAACCTTAACCCTCGCCGTGAAACTGGGGATGCAGCCGAGCAATAGAGAGATGCCGGGCATGGCGTCGTCCCTCAACGGCATCTCCCACACCTCGGCCGCCGCCGCGGCCCACGTCGCGCTCCGGGAGCTGCAGAACGGCCACGGCCTGCAGGCGCCGTTCGATCACGCAGGCGGCGGTGTCGGCCACGACGACTTCCTCGACCAGATGCTCTCCAACCTGCCCTCCGCCTGGGCCGAGCTCGGGAACCCCAGGCCCGCCTGGGTCCCCCCTTCCGACGCCCCCACGGCGGGGCAGAGGCTCTTCAGCGCTGGCCGCGCCGGAGAGTCAGCGGAGGAGATGCAGTACGACGAGTCATTGCTGCTCGCCAACCGGCTCCGGCAGCACCAGATCAGCGGCGGGAGCTCGCCGACGGGGGAGGCGCTGATGCTCCAGCTCAGCCGCAGCGGCCAGCAGCAGATGCTATCTGGGCTGCTCCCGCTGCCGCTGACTCTGGGGAGCGCTGGCTCCGCCGATTCCCCCAATCCCACCGTACGTTGCTCTAATTCTCCTTCCTTTCATCCTCTTTACTTGAAGAAATCCATTTATTCGGGACGAGAAGAAACCAAACAAAACAAACTGCGTTGTAAAATCTCGATCTTTGAGTGAAAGGGCGGCGATGGACTATACAATGGATTCGGGGGATCGCTTCAGCTCGCTGAATCGGTGAATCAACAGAGTTTCCATCATCCCCAGGTTCTACCAAACCATCGTAACAATCTCCAGATGAAGCTTTTCATTCTGTTTGAGCATTTCTCATTGGTCGATGCCCGAACTCAAAAACCAGAGCGCGCCGATGCCGGGCCAGAACTTTGGAGCAGCGCCACCGGCGGCCGGAGCGGGGCAGACTCCAGCTGCGTCAACCTTGGCGTCGGCCTCCGCCGGTGGTGGCTCGGGACCGCCGAGGCAGAGGGTGAGGGCGCGGAGGGGCCAGGCTACTGATCCTCACAGCATCGCCGAGAGGGTAAGCCGTGACAGAAATCAACCAAAAAGATCAATTTTTTTCCCTTAGAAAATTGCTTTTTCGCACGAAAGGATCGAGAAATTGAGATCATTGAAGGCCCAGAAACCTGTAGGCCTCTGCATTAAATGCTCTCCTCCCTTCCCTCGGTACTCGCTGCAACATGATTCAGATTTGTTCTGTACTGCACCTTCTGCTGTCTCACCATTTGTTTGCATCTCTTCAGTCATTTCTCTTATGTTTTGTTCTTTGTTTTCTACGCACACAGCTTCGCAGGGAGAGAATCGCAGAGAGGATGAAAGCTCTGCAGGAGTTGGTGCCCAACGCCAATAAGGTATTAAAATCTTCTGTGTCTCCTCCTATCATTATTTCTTTTGTTCTTTTATCTTTTTCTGTTCTGGAGAAAATGCTACATCATTAAAGCAAAGTTGAAAGCTGGAGAATATGGGAATAGAAAATGAGATGAATGATTCTGTCTGTATACATACATATATATCTGTATGCTTCTTATACTTTTTAATAAGAAGTATAATAGTGTTAGGATCCCTTTTTTCCGTATAAAGCATCCAACATTGCTTCTAACTTTGCTCATAGATGATGATGTTTATGAAGATAATGGTCTGCATATTGTAGGAGTTAGATTACATTAGCTTCTACCATGGTATTCACCATGTGAAGGTGATTAAGAGAGTTGCATGCCTAATTAATGACGTCTCAGATGAATAAGCAATATATATATTGTATATACATCCATGTTTACTTGCGCATCTGACTGCTGGGCTTCAGAGTTGGTGAGGAGAAGCATACCAACAAATTAATAGGTGGTCCATAACCACAAGAAGAATTTAACGTAGATATGAGCAAAATAATTTAATGAGCAGAACAAACATTGTCAACACGAAAGTTCAACTTCAGTATCATCATTGCTATTATGCTCATCATGTGTTGTGCTTGCTACTCTACCAAAACCAGAATTTTTTGACTTGTTGGAAGAAGACAATGGATGAGAAAGAAAGCAAAAGACTGCTTCTTTTATTGTCTTCTTTTTCTTTCCGGGTTAGTTTTCTGTTATGTGTTATTAAGAGGTCGTATGAATTGGTGGATTCCAGACGGACAAGGCGTCGATGCTGGATGAGATCATCGACTACGTCAAGTTCCTCCAGCTTCAAGTCAAGGCAAACTCCTCTCTTCCTCCCTTTCCTCTTGTTTCTGTTTGTTGCTTCGCCATGTGATCTGCCTTCTCTCTGGAAACGTACGTTTGACACCAAAGTCAACCATCTCCTTGGACAAATCCGGACAAAGATCCCGGATCTTGATTGGCTCGCACATAGATGCGAGTTGATCCATGTGCCCTAGTCAGCGGTGTCCTACCGACACCAGCAACACAGATATGGACGCGGTGGTTGACTATGGTGATTTTTTTTTGGGCGCACAGGTGCTGAGCATGAGCAGGTTGGGCGGAGCCGCGGCGGTTGCGCCGCTGGTGGCTGATATGGCTTCGGAGGTAGTAATTACCCGTCTCCACTCTTCTTCCTCTTCTCCTATTCCTGTGGTTTTCTTCTTTTACCTTTGATGCCATACCGTATTCTTCGAGCATGGGGATATCCTGGGCTCGGTGATGACGACGACCGATCGAGGCAGGAAGCACTAACAGCGACACGCGTGCTGCTAACTGAATTCCCCAAACTATCCCCCGCTATCTCTTTCTCTATCTTGGTTTTGGGTTGTTTAGTGTATGATTAGAGAAGGATTAATGGCGGGGGGGTGAAATGAACAGGGGCAAAGCGGGGCGGGAAGAGACGGAGCGAACGGCGGCGCGGCGGGAAGCAGCGACAGTCTGACGGTGACGGAGCACCAGGTGGCGAAGATGATGGAGGAGGACATGGGGTCAGCGATGCAGTATCTGCAGGGGAAGGGCCTCTGCCTCATGCCCATCTCCCTCGCCTCCGCCATCTCCTCCGCTACCGCCGGCCACCTCGGCCACGGCCTCGTCCCGGGCGTCCTTCCTCCTCCCAATCCCAGCGGCGACGCCCCCTCCTCCCCCGGCGTGTCGGCGCTCACGGCCCAGTCCACCATGGCGGCCGAAGCCACCAAGGATGGCGTTGCCGCCTCCAAAAGCCTGAGCTCGAAATAGAGGAAAGGAAGCAAGGTTCATTCCAGAAAAACGTCAAAAGGCGGGAAAGGAGTGGACCTGCGTCGGACTTTTGTCGTCGTCTCTTCTTTTGCTTTCGTTTTCTGTCTGTCTGTATCAACTTTCTCGGTGTCTTCCTTCAATTCTCACCTAATGTTATAGCTTACCCCTTTGTGCTTACTTGTCCTTTTGTCTTTGTTGTCTATATACATGATAAAGTTGTAATAATGTGATGATAAAGTGGGAATGGGGGAAAAGCTTGTGAGGAAGATAGACATTTATTTACGAGGTCAAAAGGCTAGTGTTAGTGGGGGTTGAGTAGGGATTGGTGCATCAAACGACAATATGAAACAGTGGGTAAAGGAGAGAGACGGGCAAGTTTGTCTTTGTATAATGAAGCGATTGATTATAAATGAAGTCAAACAGGTGGTGATGGACTGCTAATAAATAGGCTATAATAATAACTAGGAGACGATGTGAGAGGCAGAGCACTACTGCTCAGCTTCATGTCCCCATCTGCTGCACGTCTTGCCTTCTCTCTCTCTCTCTCTCTGCAATGGTAGTCTGTGTCGTTTTGTATTGAGGCTAACATTCTCTCATAATTAGAGAGAGAAGTAATGGGTTGGGTAGGTGCTGCGTTTCCTGTCTTTTATAATTTCTTAGTTTATGTTGACTACTGAAGAAAAATTCAACCGCTGCTCTCTTTTTTTTTTTTTGTATTTTGAGAGAAGAAATCAAGTGGGAGATTATTTGAATTTATCTTTTTTTATCAAAACTAAAGGCCCTTTGTTGTCACAATGATACCAACAACAAGCCTATGTTGTTATCATAACTTGGTAATTATTAAGAGCAATCAAATATATTTGTCATGCGAATCCTCCCTAAAAGTGGCATGATCATCAAATTCATGAGATGATGGAGCAACTTGTGTACTGAGATGATCACTCGTGATTGATTTAATCATAATCATAAGATTGCTTCTTTACGATATGATATTAATGTTCCCGTGATAACAATTATAGAGCAAGATTATGTACGTCAACCCTTCCTACACCTACACTAGTAGGAGCATCATGCAACTCAGTCTCTAACGTAAGGATGAGATTATGCAAATCGATGATACTTTCCACGCTTGCATAAAGACACATTGCAAGCTCTCTTGTATCCCTTGAAGAAAAGAATAGAAGATAAGAATAATTATTAAAAAAAATTTATTGAAGAAGAAAAGAAGGAAGAAATGAAAATGCATCTAAATATTAACATGTTCCCTCTTCTATTTATACAAATTAGGAGAAATGATTTCTCTCAACAGAATAGAAGATTTTTTTCAACAAAATAGAGAGATTTTCTCGTATAATTAAAAAAATTTATCTTTTATCATCCCTAAATCTATTTATCCAGCTTAAGAACCCAGCAGAAAGAGAGAGAGAGAGAGAGAGAGAGAGAGAGCTAAGCTAGGAGGAAGAAAGAAACACAGGCACACAAGCAATGCATCGAAAGCAGTCAGAAAATGAAGCCAGACACGTACCTGCTGCCACTACTGACTGTCACTTTTAGTCTCTTCACCAGTTTCAGGGCTGTCCTCCATGAATTTGCCGCAAGATCTATTTATGGGGATCATTTCTTTACATGTACTTACTAACACACACTGATTAAATGCAAAATATTTGCAAGGGCAATAAGATCGGTGAGATGGAGGCTTTGTTTTTGAAGATGACCTGCTGGTATTGAGGGTAAGCAGAGGGTGGTGTCACAGGAAATGCAGAGAAAGCACGCAAAGCAGTCTCCCAAGAAAGCATCTGATGCCAATGCATTGAAACCCATAATAATACTTGTGACCTTGGAGGTCTGTTAGAATCATGTTGATCCAGAACTCAGTACATTTCGGGGAACCAAAATATCCTTCATCCACAGCAAATTCTGCATAGTTATTGTCTACAGAGGTTTGTTTGTGCATGTAAACGACCGATTGCAGAAACTGTGAGAAGGAGAAGATAAACGTTCGCATTTAAAAGTCAGTCAGCGAGTTCATAATGCCCAGAATTTATGATTATGCAGCGTAGCAGTCTGATATGTATAACAACAACTGATCTTTGTACTTCTTCAGCAAGGTGCAATAAAATGAGAAGCTTGAGATGGTCTATGTCACTTAGTTGGAACTATTATTTCTTGTAAGATTAATGTAATTAAACCTCGAAAACTGGGGTGAGTCAAATCTTTAAGGCTAATATGATGATCATTGTAGCATGATAAAGCATCAGGTGAGAAACTCTTTTATCCACTGCATTATAATTATGCAACCTGGTGTGGTTCTTGGATCCATGTCTTGAGCTTTCTGAACCTGAACAATCTTCTACAAGTAGCCGAAGGGAATGAATACAAGTTTCTTTCCTTGTTTTATTGTTTGCGTGATTATGAGTTGTGCTTTTCCCAATGCTCAATGGTCTGCTTACTCTACTCTTCACCTGAAAATATTGTACCTCATCCACCAAAGAACTGCCTCAGTTCAGTTCAGATCAACAACAGCAATAGCAAGCTCAAGTTTCAACCTCTCTTGTTCTGATCATCTTTAAGTTACAAAGATTGCTGAATCTCATCAGCATACTAAGAATCGGGACCTTGTTTTGTAGATCATTCTCAACAAGTATGACACTAGCAAACTTGAGCCATCGATTGTCAAATCCATTTACTAAGACAAGTGATGTTCACAGACTCTTATTTCACCTTATCATCAGATGAAGAGATAAAAATAATAAAGATTAGCTCAACCCTCAAACGCATGCTAAATGATGAAGGATGGATTTGTGCTTGCAGATGGAAACCCACACAAGAATCAAATTATTTTACTTTGTGGTTTGTGGTTGAAAGTAAGCTATTTATATTATATCTGTTTATTTTCCATGCATATTAATCATTTCGAAGAGACAAACATACAATTAATCAAGAGTATTACAAGCAAATGATAACTTTTGTCACCATCAATGACCAACAACTGTTCAACATGGACATTGTTACCGTCTTCTTCACCATGGAAAATGATTCCAAGCTAAAATAATCTTAATTCAACTCAGTCACAGTAAACAATTATACTTAAGATGGAGACAGAATGATTCCGAGGTAGACTTGACTGATTGATCCCCATTGCCATTTCTTAAACATCAGTGTCACACTTACTCGAACCAGTGGACGCAGATATCACTCGCTCTCCTCACGCTATAAACCTCCGCAGCTTTACTCTGAAATCTGGACATTCTTTATTATTTGCATAACTAATTTAAGTTAAAAAAAATATGTATACAAAAACACCTAAATTATGCTAAACACTTTTACTATCATTTTATGTTCTTAAGACAAATTGTCGTTTAAACTAATAAAGATTAGTAATTTAAAATATATGTAAACTTTTGTGTTTTATACAAATATATATGAGAAACAAAAATTTCAAGGACAAATGTTGCATCACAATCACTGAATTCCTAATGTTCTTACCATCATATTATGTTTTTAAAGGGTATAAATACTAGATAAAATATTAAATAACACTAATGCTAACCAAATAATGGAGATTGATTGTAATATATAAATTTACATTTTTTTTATTGGAATAATAACGGAAAGAAGGAAACGGTAACGGTAACGGTAGTAGCGTAAGGGCATTATGGAAATAATATCCTCCAAACTTTTAACTCACTGAACATATTTTGGATGCTTCATTCTTCCATAAATACCCCTCCACATCAACACCTCCTCCCTCCCCTCTCCTCCTTTCCCACTCCGCTCTCTCCGGAAACAGGAGCGATTTGTTTGAGACCATCAAATCGATGCCAAGGTGATGACGCCGGCGTCGCGCCGGTAATGATCCGCCGCAAGGTGGAGTTCCTCCGCCGTCGTATCATGTTCAACAGGGGGCCCTCGCGGAAGCGGCGGTCGGGGGCGGTCCCGGTGCACCTCAACGTCTACGACCTCACCCCCATCAACGGCTACGCCTACTGGTTCGGCCTCGGCGTCTACCATTCCGGCGTCCAAGGTGAGATCCGATCTCTGCCTGCCCAGGGTTTCCTTCTGTCTGGTGCGGCGATTGGGATGAGGTCATCGATCTTTAGGGTTTGCTTCTGTTCTTTTCCCCTTTTGCGGGGGTGGTCTTGCTTTGGATGGCAGTGCACGGGGTGGAGTACGCGTATGGGGCGCACGATCACCCGACGACGGGAATCTTCGAGGGGGAGCCGCGACAGTGCCCGGGATTCGTGTTCCGGAAGTCGATCCTGATCGGGCGCACCGATCTGGGGCCGTGCGAGGTGCGGGCACTCATGGAGGAGTTGGCCGCCAAGTACACCGGCGACACCTACAACCTCATCTCCAAGAACTGCAACCACTTCTGTAACGAGGCCTCCCTCCGCCTCACCGGCAAGCCCATTCCCCGATGGGTCAACCGCCTCGCCAAGATCGGTACTTTACCCTCCCTCCCTCCTTCCATCGCTCGATCTCAATGCTTCTTGCCAAAGGTTCGACTTTTAAGGGGGTTCCGATGGGCGCCAGGGTTCCTGTGCAATTGCGTGCTGCCCGTGCAAGTGGCGGCGGTGAGACAGCGTGGGCCTGAGGAGGGGAAGGACGGCGGGAACGGCGAGAGGCGGAGGTTGAGGAGCAACTCCTCCAGATTCCCAACCGTCACCACCGCCGCTCATCCTTCTTCTTCTTCTTCTTCTTCCGACAATCCACTCAGTAGCATTTCTAAGCCGGCGGTCATCATTTCCCTCTCGATCGGCGGGGAGTAGGAGTTGCCGGCGCTCTTCGTCCTTGTCGTCCACCGGGGAAATCCCCTCCACGGTGAAGGTGTAATCCCTGCTGCGCCTACGCCGCCGACGGTACATTTGGGGAAACCCCGAAGCGCAAAAAATTCTCCTTTTAACCCTCTAAATTCATTTCGAAACGGAAATCTGTTCTCTTCCTTTTTCTTTTTTTTCTTCTCTTGTTTGATCTGCCGCCATTAAATGCTGCAGCAGCCTAATTGTAATTAAACTTCTTTTCCGTATTGCTCGTCGCCGAGATCTCAGATCGTTGCTGTTCCTCCTGTTCCATTCTTCCTCTTTCGCCTCGCAGTTCTCTGTTTCCTGCGCACGTGGAGAGCGGCGTGCGGTCGGCCGGCCACGGAGCAAAGCTTAGCGCCCGTGGTCGTGGCGGCCGCTAAGGAAGTGGGAGACCCCACAGATGGCCGTCTATTTCCTTCAATCATGAGTCGCAGCCCATGATGCTGACGACGACGGGATTTTTCGTGCATCGTGGAGGTGGGGATATGCTTGTCATGTTCCGGGAGACCGGTTGTGGTGGTGGGGAAGCCGGTGTCGAGAAGTATGGAGGAGTTTGAAGTAGCGTGTGGTGGTGCTAATTTTGTGATTTAGACCTTTAAATGCTTTAAGCATCTTCTTGTGGATAATAAATTAAATTTTATGTTCTTATATTAGAAATTTTATTATTTACTTTGATGGTATGCATATTTATAATCGTAATAAATTTGATTATATTAAATATTTAAAAATTATTTCATGGACAGAAAAGATGTGTAAATTTTAAGAATTGTTCCGACCTCTAACCTTGTTTTTCTAGGTTTCATCTTTGCTCCTATACTTATCCAAGTGGATTTTGAGAAGATTAAAATTATCCCTATAAGATACCTATAGTTTTCATGGGTTCAAATTATTTTATCATCGATTTATTTAGAATTTTAGTATTATTTTAACTCCTCTAACTGATTGTATAAAAAAAAAAGTTTCTACTAAAGATAAAATTATCTACTGCTCTTATTTTTGTATTATCATATTTTTTAAAATATTTAAAATTGACTGTGATGTCTCTCATATATCTATTGATGGAATATTTAACTAAGAAGGACACTTGCGTTCTTTAATGACAAGCTTAAAAATATAAAAAAAAAAAAAAACTATTCGATCTATAATATTGAATTTTATACTATTGTTTAAGTACTGAGATATTGAAGACTTTAATTAGTCCAAAGAGAATTTATCTTAAATTCTGATTATGAAACTTTTAAACATATAATTTCTCAAACAAATCTTGTAAGATAATATTTTTACAAGTATAAAAGTAAAATATATTATAAGATTGTAGATGCACTTTTAGTTAGTAATTAGCAATTAGCGCTTATTAATATTATGCATGCCGAACTAAAAGGAATTGATGCAATAAGAAATATTTACTTTAATGATAAAAATTTTGAAGAAACATGAGAGTCATACACAAAAAGTCATCATAAAGATTATATTATCAAAGATTTTTTTTTTTCGGTGGAACTTAACTTTATATTCCTAAAGTCTAGCACATCATCCTCCTCTTCTTTTTTATTTTTATTTTCGATTTACATCATTAGTTCTCAGTAATGGTATTCTCAATGTCCTTCCTATACACTCCCTCTTGTCTATCAATCTGAATGATAGCTGAAAAGATTTCAGAAGAATTCTTTTAGAGGGATTCTCCCATTCGGAAGAAGTGTAATGTTATTAGCTGGGATGTCATCACTTCCCATAGAAGAGGTTGGAGGTCTCGAAGCTAGGGATCTTAAAACTATGAGGAAAATTATATAGGCTAAGAGGTCAGGATGGCAGGAGATGTGGCGACTGGGTTGTCCCCCTAAGGTTAAAAGTCTTCCTGTTAAAACTAGTATGGAATTGTTTGCCTACATCCAAGTATTTCTCAAGGTTTTACAGGTCCCAGATTGAGGTATGTCCTATACGCAAGCTAAATGAGGACTGGAGATTGTTTGAACAGAAACTCTAGTTCAAGTTTCAGCAGTTCGATAGATGGCATCAGAGAGAGGGAGCTAATCTGCCTAAACAGGAGGCTCGACGACTACATAGTCTCATTGGAAGCTTGCTGTGGCAGATCGAGCTCATTTTCGTAATCAACTCTATAATCAGATAGTAAGTAATATGGTATGGGAGCGGCGGCCAACACGAAAGAGTTTTGCCAACCTCAGACCTCCCTCAGGAATCCTGCTCCGGGGGGTATGGATCAGGTGGACAACGAAGCGGTGATCGTAAATCGTGATGGCTCATATCTGCACTCCTCCTCTGCAGGATATGGGTGTCGTGCGCAAGATAGTGCGGGAAGGGAGATGGCAGTGAGCAAATTCAATTACTCCTTCAAATTATTTGATTCTTAGGAACAAAATTACTACTTGGATTAATAAAAAGATATGATCTTTGCTAAGGATTTTAGTATTTTCCTATGCAATTTAATTACTAACTCCTTATAATTTATGTGGATCAATCAATAGAAACAATCGATCGTTCCGCAATTATTATCATTCCATATTACTATCAACTTGGTGTCATGCTCTTATTATGTTCAATGATTACATGATTCAACACAAGTCGACGAAGTGTTTTATGTTGCTCAAATAACAATTCGCTATCATAGTTAGTATATCGAATGTGATGGGTGATTCCATGCTTCCTCTACACTATTCGAACTACTTTTGGATCGATTATTGTTGTTGGTTGTAATTTTATTTTGACAAAGGCTTCCTTCCTCCCTTGTTATTGCTAAATGTCTAGCTATTTTTTACAATCTCTCGAAAGCTATTATGGTTGGAAATATTTTGATCGACATAATAGCTTGAACCAAAAGTGCCAATATAATATTTTGGTCTTACATTGATCGTAATACCAGCGAGGAAGCTCACATCTCACATGTGGGATTGTGATCTTTCCTACTAACTTTTGTTTCAACATGTTTTATTTAAGATGGATACATGATTTTTATTTTTTTTTAAAAATAAGATTTAAGTTATTGGGAATATTTAACAAGAAATCATACTTACGAAACTAAATAGATTTTATTTAACTCAACGATACCCAACAGCGAACAGGTGAACCGATTCATTCTATTTTTTCACCAAACGGATCAAATAGATATGTATTTAATCCAATTCTGATGATTATGTTGGAATCATAATCTTATTTTCATCACGATCGATTTGAAGTACTTTGTTGACTATTTATTTTTCTGAGATGATGTTTATTTTCATCACGATCGATTTGAAGTACTTTGTTGAGCATGAGCAGCTTATTTGTGTAAATCAATCTTAAATAATCACATAGAACTTTGATCAAAATGCAATAAAACCGCATCAGTTTCAATAAGCAATATGACAGCATCATTTGATTAGAAATCAAAGTGCATAAACCCAACACACTGCTCGCAGGAAACAAACTTGGCATTTAGTCTTCTTTTAAGCTGCAAATAAGCAAATCAAATTGAAAACCAGATCAAGAAACCATATTTTGTTTCCCAAATTCTAATGGAACCAGAATCTTAATGATGAATAAAGAGCTGCAGTCTCGCATCATGGGCACCAACATAACATTATGGACTGTGAGCTTCCCTCCGACAACTTTAAGGAGAACATCAATTTCCTTACTATTTCTTAAAACTACAAACTTAATCCATCCGGCCCTTCAAGGTTCTTTCCTGCACTTCAGTGGGTGTCCTGCAAAGCACGGGTAACAAAGTCACCAACTAGTCTAAAATATTAGATTAAGATATCCTTTGGTGAAAGGATATGAAAATATTAGATTTGTTGGGTTATCAAAAGTTATTTACAGCCAATACTACGTGAAAGCGCTGATAAAAAATCTTTCGGGCTAAACTAAGATCTGTAAGAGGAAAAAAAACAAAAAAGAAACAAAAGACCAAGCACCTTCTGATAAAGAACAAAAAAGAAAAGATTTAGAATAAAAGGGTTTCTCATAGTGCGATAGCCCACATATTTGGTAATTTATTTTGTTTGTCATGTGCCTTCTTGCCTTCCAAGTCAACAGAGAAGACAAAATTGTTTTTTCATATTTAATAAATGATTCTTTACCTTTAATTATAGAAAAAAGAACATAAACAATTTGAAGAATAACCAAGAGTATCTCCCAACTTACACAAGAAGGACATGGCCTCCCCAACCACTCAAACAATCACGATCCACAGATGATAGTAAAGCTTGTGAGATTGTCTCAAATAATTCTTCAGGTTCCTAGAAAGGAGAAATAGAAATAAGTTTAGACACATTACCAAAGGAAATAAATAAATAAATCTGCAGGGTACAATGAGAGCAAGGCATGAAACCTATATTAGTTTCTCTTTTAATGTCATTCTTTAATACCTCAAGTTTGTACTGATTTTCCTTCTGTACACCAATACAATTTGTACCTTGTTCCATTGTTTTACCATGCTGTGAGACGTTTATGATTAAAAAAAAAAAAACCTAAACTCTGGTAGGCATGCTTGTCCACTTTGAAGTGTTTGCTAGTACTACTCTAAATGTTAATGCAACTTTCTCTTCTGTTCCAAAAATGCATTTCCATGAACATCCCTTGTTCAGGTTGGAGGTTAGATAGAGAAAAAAAATTGTATATTGACTTGTCTATCTGTAAACCAAAATTCATCTGAAGTGATTTCTAAAATCCAATATCCTAAAAAATTAAAAGTGGAAGAACAATTCATCTTTCAACTCCATCTGTTGCAACTTCCAGGTTGACTGACAGATGTAGATACATTAATTTGTTAGGCATCTAGCTTTTCATGTTCCAGAAAATGCATATAAAACAGAGAAAATTTTCCAAGTAGGGCTTCTGTACAAGCTCACTTGCACCTTTGAGAACTAAAACAGTCAATATTACCAAAGTAATTTCTAAAGTTCTCCTTGCATATTTCATCAAGGAACCATTGGCTACATGAATCCAATTTAAGTTGGGTAATACGCATACTGTAAGACCAAGTGCTTCAAAATAGTAAGTTACCATATTAGGTTTGTACATCGACTCACAGGCACCATAAAGAGACTCCGAGGCTGTACCAGAAACGACAAAGTCTTTGGCAAGTTCCCTGAATTCAAGAAAACAGCCACTAAATGACATGAAACTAATAAAAAATTATCAGAATAATTAGTACATGTGAATTCTAAAAAGAAATACTACAGAAGATTAGCAATCAAATTCAGATTCAAAGATTATTAAGAATGAGCAAACAATATTCAATAAACATACTTGTGCCTCCCGTATGTACATATGTAAAACACACTAGGATTAAATCAAAACACTTGTTGGTGTCTTTATCATTTGGCTTGCTAACTGTAAAATGAAACTTGTCAACTAGCTAGAGAAAGACAACATCAATGAAGGACAGGATACAAACAATAGAATGGAAGTTATTGAAAGTTGAAAAGTTTGAAATGGTGAAAACAAAACAGAGAAACACAGAGAAATGCAATTGAACTTTTAGTTGCATGATCCAGATATACCAACATCCTGATTTTGCAATGCATCCATACAATGCAATGCTGGCTGCACCAACTTTACTCGCCAGGTTCCTTTTTATTTCTCAGAAACTCAACAAGACGTAGCAATCTTGTTTTGCCCGAGAAATTATCTCTATTTAATTGTCAGGACACTATGTGCAATGGAACACCCTATAAGCACATGTATGACATAACGCTTTTAGCCCTGCTCACAGAATAAAAAACCTTTTTGAGGTCCACTGCTGTTATCTTGTACACACATGAAGATAATTGTGCCTATATCTAGTTCCAGAATTTCTCATATAAACAAACTGATAACACAACATAGCTAGAACTACATAAACAGAGGTATACACCACAAGACATACGTTCACACAAGTGTATGAAAAACACATTTAGAACCTCACACATATGTGAGTGATTATTGAAGAAATGGGATTGGAGAGGTACCTAGCGTCCATGGCAATCATAGCGGAATAGATTTCTAGGACAATGGTAATATTTGATCTTAAAAGTTCTTATGAAAAAATTCCAAGAAATGTTTGTGATATACCCAAAAAATAGATATAAACTAAAGATCCAAAGAGGTGACAGAAGTGTACTATTTTTATAGGTGCCAATCTAGAAAGATCATGCTTACAGAGTTACAAGTGGAAAATAGAGAACTCAAAATTTGGGCCTAAAACTGAAGCAATTAAAGTGATTGTATTTAGTTTTCTTTTCAAGCTTTACAATGGAACAAGCACAATTGGTTCCACAAATGGTGTTGAGCGGCCTTCCATAGCTCATACGCCAACGTCAAAGTTTTGTTGACTCCATGCAATGCTTCATTTTTCAAGTACTAATATTAAATACAGCATGATCTCTATGAGACTCACCCCTATAAATCTATTGGAACAAATTTCATATCATATGCCTCATAATCTCGCCCTTTTTCTTTTTCATCATAGTTCACTCCATATGAATCCATGAACAAACTATGTCAAGGCTAGGATTCAAAACATCAACTGAAAGCCCATATTAGATTGTTGCTTATTTATACCAACAGCCTACCTGGTAGAGCCAGGATATGCTCCTTGTACATCCTGCATAAACCTTTTGATATATGCTAAAGAAGTGATTCTTATGATTCTATTATATTCCTTCTGTGAAAAAACCTCTCTCTCTCTCTCTCTCTATAAACAAGATGTATTTAATACACCTAGCTTTATATTCACTATAACTATGATATAAAACATCAAAATATTCATAGTATGTTTTTTGTTGATCAAAACCTTGTCATCTTCGGTCCTCTAGTGTTAAGTTTTTTTATATTTGCAACTATCAAATCATATAAGCCACATTAAGGAAATGAAATTCTGCTCTTTAATGAGCTAAATTTGATCAAAGATCTGTATTATCTAATGAGTCATATGACTTTTGACATAATCAGCTGTCTTTTCCAAAATGCAAGAGCTTGTGGTTCTCTGCCAAAATGTGGGAACTGATGACCAAATCTTTTCCTCTACAGTCCAAGCTGTTCCAATAGTGAATGTGATCAATTAAAAAGATAATTTAAAATCCAAATCTTTCATCCTATAGTTGTTCTAGTAGTAGAGGCATGACAAGCTCTTTCCACAGTTTATTTCGGATCCAGAGTCTCATATTAAACATGATTCTGTCACGGGATCTCCTCTTTGTAGTTGTCGAGCATGTTGCATGAAAATTGCCTGAGGAATTACTTTTCAAAATGGATCTTTCTGATTATTCTGAGAATGCCCGGTGCCTTATTTCAATTTGACCATTATCCACCTTGGTTATTTAAGCACATGAAGGAAAAGGTATCATAACAAGATCAGCACATCATTTAGCCTTTCTACATAGTTGATTGCAGCAGGCAATAGACAGAGTCAAACATTATTGTCCATTAACTACAACATGCAATATTTAGGATAATTTCCTCACAGGTAGACAATCACACTGCCAAACCTCAACAAAATCTTAATCATTAAACATGAAGCACACACAATATAAGGGAAAAAGCAACACACAAGAATGACAATACTTAGTTTGTAATACATATCCATCAGAATGCTGGCAATAATAAGGTTAACTGCTGACAATATGTTCACAATATATATAGCAAAATATGTTGTTAACTGATCGAGTTGTTTGAAACAATATTTGACAATGATCGGTGGGCAAAATGCAAGCGAAAAGAAAAGAGACATACTTGGCACCGATGCAATCCATGGTACAAATGAATGGAGCATCATCATCACCTAGTCCAGCAATTACAGGCATGCAAAAGTATGGACCAAATCTACAAAAAGCAACGTGTCAATTTTTCCAGTGAGACTGTTACACTATAGGATAGGTTAACAAAGATTAAAAGTCTATGAAAAGAAACAGAAAAGACAACAGAAAAAAAAATTAAGTAGCTGGTTTTTTTCCTTCGGTCTGATTAGGGGCAACTTTTGGCATAACCATGGAAATAATTATAATATCCCATATAACGCTCGAAACACAGTGGTATCATATATAACCTTGCAAATCTTAGAAACCCTAATGACCTGCTACCAAAATATTTTTTTGCACCATTAATAAAAATTCGTTGTCTAACTACCATTAACATTATCTTCTACATTTTAAGATTCAGATCAAGAGTTAAAGCAGCAAAGACAAAGCAGTGCACCGCTATGCAAATCAAGTAGGAGGAGTAGGAGACCTCCAAGAGCAGCGCACCACGTGCCAACTTTTGTGGAAAATCGGGTAGGAGGAGACCCAAAAGATCAAACCTTTTCTCATACAGAAGAGCGGAAACGAGGCTAGCGAAGGTCTGGGGCTTCATATCCCTCTCCTCCCTCAGCTGATATAGCTTGTGGCGAAAGATAAGCCGCTGGTACCTTAACACCGCAACAACAACAGCTAAGATGTCAAACTAGCACAACCGAACGGAATCCAACGAAAGTAATCGACCAAGAGAGAGAGGGGGAGGATGTTCAGCTCACAGGGTTTGGACATCGGTGGCCAGGCCAGAGAGGCCGATGTAGAGCTTGTCGTGGATCTTGAAGATCCTCTGGAAGTCGGTGGCGATGGTCTGGAGGTTGACCCCGAGGCGTCGGTCGCTGGCAATCGCGAAGCAATTCTTGCCCACCATCGCCACCACGGCGCTCCCATTGTACTCAAAGATCTGAAAAAGGTTCGCAAGCAAAACATCGATTGGTTTCCTCCTTCAACAGGAAAAGACAAAGAAGAGGGGATTTAGGGCTTCGATCAAACACGCACCGACATCAGCGATCGATCGAGCAAGCGACAGAGAGAACGGCGAGGAAGAGAACAGATGGGACCGTCTTGGGGAGCACTCCAAATGACTTGGTTATGGTTTTATAGAACACACTGGGCCGGCTTAGCGGGCCGTTCTATGAATGAACTGCTCTCATATTTTGGGGCTTAAATTACTGCTATTTTATACAATAACCTAAAAAATAATAAAATATAATTTTGCCAAATATAACTCATCAATTACCGATCATAGATTTAAAATATAATATCTTCTAGATTAATATCGACTGATCACAAAGATAACATCTATATTCATCGATACATGTACCTATCTTATATATATTTATTAATAATAATATAAATAAAAATATACATATTTTAGAATTAAACCCAATAATATATAACCCTAACATTTCAACATTAACAACTAAATCAATCGTATATGTAATTTTTAATACATGTAAAAAATTTTATAAATAAAATAATAAAAATAAAAAATATTCCATCAAAAGCTAATTTGTATATTTATTTGGATATATTTGTATTTATTTAGTTATAGTTATATTTGAATATATTTGGATATTTGGTCGTGTTTCTATTTGTGTCTATTTGAATAGAGATGGACTCGAAAGAGTGCCACAGTATTATAGAGGTAGATCTACTATTCGTGAAGAAATGAGACGTAGATGTGAAGTAATAGATAGTATAACTATGGGTATGGAAGTATCATTGTACCATAGAGGTGAGACTTCCATAGAAACATCAAATTTTTTCTCTCATGGAGAGAGAATGTACGGTTATAAAGGGAGTTAAGGAAGCGGAGAATGTCATGACAAACTCCAAGTATTAAGATAAGACAAAAGGGCAAAAGTCGAGGAACTTCATAAGACCGATGTTGATAGACTTCTCAATCAAGATAGCTAAAGAGGGAGACTTTTGGTTAATGTGGGAGCACTTAATTAAAAAATGAAATAGACAGTATATGATCCTATATTCTAGAAATTCAATAGCAATGAGAAGGTGAATCATAGTTGCTAACTCAACGCAAGGAGTGTAATACTTTAAATGCTTTAAAAATATAAGAGCTGACAAAGGCTAATACGTAGTTTGATGCATGAGGTACAATCCTCGAGGAGGCGAGTGAAGTTAAGTACCCTCATCCTTCTCAACGCTTAAGAAAATACATAAAATTGAGTACACTAATTCTCTTAGTTACCTAGTAGAGAAGCTTTGTACTTGTTCCAAGATCCTTTGAATAGACTTAACAATAGATAACACTTGTCAAATCATTTTTTTCTTAGAAGATGGCAAAATAAAGATAATTAAATTGAAGCTCCATCGTAAATTGAGATTTGCTTATAAATACACACGAGTCTTAAGATTTTAGTGAGAGAGATACAAAATATTCAAAGAGGTACTTTTGAGAGTTTCTAAGAATGTACAAGAGGAGTTGTATTTGACTAAAGATAATTCAAAGATTTTGTAATTGATTTATGTTATAAAAACATAGATAAGAGAGTTATCGAACAACATTAAATCTTGTATAAATTTTTTAATGTAACTTAAGAATATATTTTAAATTTATTAATATCTAAACCTTTTTATTTAAATTTTTCTTTCATTCCTCAACAATTATCACCCTTCATCATTTTCATCACAAAAACTAAAACTATACTCTTTTTATTCTCTTCTAGTCAGACCAAATCTCATCACCACAATGTTCCATCTTAGTGCATGCTACATTGTGATCAGTCTATACATGAATGCAATTCATGACAGGTTTCTTGGCTTAGGGAAATGCAGTGATGATCCTTTATTTGTGAAATACCTATCTTTCCGAACTTACTCTATCAAATGCAAATGCTATCACAAGATATTGTCGTGTAAATATGAAGAACTCCCAAAGCTCGTAGAGAGTTGTAAAGTGTAGGAAAGAAGAGCACTAGAGAGTACGACTGCTGAGAGTTGACTATAGAGGAAGTTACCTTGGGCTCTCTTTCATGGTCTCCACATATTTGTGGTAGTTGTTTTCAGTAAGGAGGCAATTGATTGTGTTTGTTAGTCTTCGTATGTTCCCTTTGCTGTGGAAGCACCAACTCAGAGAGGTAGGTCAATTGAAACCAAAGAACATTGCACCCCAATCCCATAAGATGAAACGCTCCGAGGAGCTTCTTACGTTTTTGTCATGATGTTAAAGATATGAAAGTTTGACGTGAAACGACTTCGGATACTTGGTGAGGAGATTCTTTAAATAATCTTTCAAATATTTAAACATCAAATCATATTATGATAACAAACAATTAATAATTATGATGATATTTAGGATTTAGTATTCTTATTATCGTTGATTGAATTTGATAATTTAGGTAGCATAATTATCAATTAATCCGAGGATTGGGATACAGTAATCTTGATGGTCATTCATCGATTTATTCTTTTTAGTTGACACACAGTAAAAATCGATTAAGAAAAAAAAAAAAGCCTACGGTCGTAGAAATCTCTGATCGAAAAAGGTTCCTCCAACACAGTAACATAGTTCTAGGGTTTAGGACGCAGGTATTTCTGGCCTAAATACGCTCCTGAGACAACAACACCTCCTACAAAGAAGAAGACGACGACGATAGACATTGATGAATAGGTCGCCCTACTTCTCTCTCTTGTCCAAAGCCCTCGCCTTCATCCCTCGCAGCCGTCCGGCCGATGCTGTCCATTTTCTCGCAAGCCACTCATACTCCGCCGCCTCCAGAGCTCCACAGAGCAGCCTTATGGCTGATTACCTGGTCAGCTCCTGTGGCTTCGATCCTGATAAGGCGGCCAAGGCCTCGAAGCTCCTCGGCCGCATCGAATCCCGCCACCAGCCTGACTCCGTCCTTGGCTTATTTCAAAGCTACGGTTTTGACAACACCCACTTGAAAAAGGTCATATCTGCAAACCCCCGGTTGCTTCTTCTCGACGTGGAGAAGACCCTGGCCCCAAAGTTCCGAGCTCTGCAGGATCTGGGCTTCTCCTGCTCCGACATCACCCACCTCGTCAGATCGAATAACCACTTCATCAGCCACAAATCCCAGACCATCTTGTCCAAGATCCAATTATGGCAAGGCCTCCTCGGGTCCAACGACTTTTTGGTGAACTTGTGCAAGAAGAACAGGAGGTTTCTCGGGTATAGCATCGAGAAGAGAATCCAGCCTAACATTGAAATTCTAAGGGATTGCGGGATCACGGATCAGAAGCTCTCAATGATCCTACGGCAATATCCCCTCCTCATAACCCGGAATGCTGAAACCCTGAAGGCGTTAATCAGTCGTGTCGAGGGTTTGGGAGTACCTCGCACCTCGGGGATGTTCCTCCTGATCCTGAGTGTGCTCCAGAGCGTCTCCGAGAAGAACTTCAAGGCTCACTTGGAGTTCTTCAAGGGCTTCGGGTGGTCCGAGGATGATTTCCTTGCTGCATTCAGAAAGGCTCCTACGTTTGTGCGATTTTCTTTAAAGAGTTTGCAGAGGAAGATGGAGTTCTTGGTAAATGAAGCCAGATGTGCTCCATCTTATCTTGCACTTCGGCCAGTTATTTTGTTGATGAGTTTGGAGAAAAGGTTGATGCCAAGGCATCGGATTTTGACAGGCCTGAAGTCTAGGGGAGTTTGCATCAGTAACCTTAGTATGTCTACATACATGAAATATCCAGAGAAGAAATTTGTGGAGAAGTTCGTCAACTGCTACAAGGAGTATCCAGAACTCATTGAGTTGTATAATGTAGCCCCCAAACACAGAACTGCACTTTGATCGTGGAAATGCATAATGCATAGCACAAGCTTTTGTACCAGCAAGTTATGTTTCCAGGTTCCAATTTTCCACTATCTGCATAACATGATCTACAGTTTGCAACCAAATAATTCCTGCCATTTACTTCGTTTTCTGTGAATGTAAGATGAGTTTGGATGCTTACATGTAGTAAGAAAATGAAGAATATTGAGAAGATTTGCGATGATATTGCCGATAGAGTTAATTGCTTGTTGATAATCTCTTGTGTAGATGCCGCATGGAATTGTTATTCTTGTCCCATTCGTTTTAAGTCTACTAGAAGATATCAGACTTATGTAGGTTATTGGACACCTGAAGTTTTGAATTGATTTGACTATGGATATTTGGTAATTTTGGTTTCGAGTTTTGGTTAATTTTTCAAATGATAAGAAGTAGGATTCTTTTGGATGGTACGGTAGGATGCTTTGGTGATTTTGAGCTGGATGATGAGGCTTTTGATTTAGGGCAAGGGTTGGTCATCTTTTATATAAATTTATTAAAGCCTCTCCTATCCAAATCCAAACCCAAAACCCAAAAAAGGGAAATGAGGTTGGGTTTCAATTTTTTGTATATTTTGTTTATCAAATTTTGTTCTCTTTCTTAAGTGATTAGTTTGAACCACTTCTTTCCTCTTGCTGATCGGTCAATTCAGTTGAAATTTCTCTCTTTATAAATGCAAAACCTTAATGAATACCTGGTTGCCACCATGATAGTTTGAAGCTGACTGTCTTCTTGAGAATGAAGTTGTAACTCTTAAATTTATGAAGGAAACCACACTTTCCGTATTGACAATGTTTTGTTCTCAATTTAAGCACTGGAATATACAAGTTGTCCTTTACCAATTTAAGCATTTGAATACGGGGGTGGTCTAAACTTCATGCACTTCAGCTCAGACTGGCCAACTCCATGTGGTCCGGCCTGAGCGACCAAGTTCCACGTGGCTGCATAAGGTCCTGCCCATTAAGACTGCTAGGGACTGGTTTGCAATGTAATGAAGAAATGATTGTAAATTTCAAGGACTGAATTGTAAATCGATAATAACTTTTTTGGACTCTGTATCCAATTTGGATGATCAATATAGTGTTAGGTGCCTCATAAAACCTAGATTCTCTTTATGCTGACATGATGAAATTTTAATATGCTGTTATTAGTTCATATTTCTTTTGGCAATCAATTTTATATTGATGCGTCTATTGTAGCCTATAATTGACGCATATTAATATTTGTTAGAAGTGCCATGATGCATAAGTTGGATGCTTGAGCATGTGAAAGGATGTTGTTGCATGGTTGTGCAGCATGTTGATATATACATATATGGATGATTGAACAACATTGTCATTATTAGTAGGCAATTTTGAAAGGGATTAGTATTCGTCAAACAAGCTTATAAGATATTCCTTGCATCTATAGAAAGACGTATTTCTACTGTTGCCGGGCACCACTTGATCCTAGTAATGGACTAATAGCAGGGAATGTGATATGAATTTAGTCTATAAGGAGGTTGCTTCATCCTGAGCAGTCGGACGAGTTCCAATGCAACAAAGTGCACTAATGGATGTGCTTTTCTCATGATGAATTTGTGAGATCTTTTATTCTAAGTTATGCTCTTTTTTTATTATTATTCTTATCTTTTGCTGATTGCATGAGACACAACTAGATTTCTTGATATCTTGTTTCTACTAAGATAATCCCTATCGATCTGAAAATTACATATTTCAGATGATCCGTAGCTGGGGAACTAAGGATTGAGAAGTGTTCGGTTCTAGCAAGGTGAAGATTGTTATATGATATTTAATAAAAGTATAGTTAGATGTTTACTCCAGTAATAATGATGACACTTGATGGGATGTATTTTCAGTTATTGTCAATGAATATTATTATTGTGCTCTGTGCGTTACAGATGTCTGGCTTATAAGTTTATGGAGGGTGTGATCCTCTCATTTTATGGATTGGGTCGTATTGAGTGTTCGGTGCATAAAATGTTCTTATCAATCAAAAGTACTTGATTGCTAGCTCCATTTGCAGGGTGTTTGGTGCAAAAGAAGTGGATTCGCAGTGATCTCGGAAATTGCTATTTTAGTAGGTGTTACTGTCCAGAGGTTGTGTTGTATCGATCATAAATTGTTCTTATCAATAAAAAATACTTGGGGTGTTAGCTCCTTTTGCGGAGTGTTTGGTGCAAAAGAAGTGGATTAACAAGGTTCTTGGAAATTGCTCTTTTAGTATGTGTTAACATCCAGAGGTTGCCATCTGCAGTGTGCTAGTTTGATTACATTAGTAAGGATATGTTGAACAAATTGGAAAAGGAAATATAATTCTAGGAGTTACTTTGCTAGGGTGAATTCAACCATTGCCTGCCTTCAGGTAATGAAAGAGAAATGAGACTTGTGCTTCAATGTGACAATAGAGCATCTCTAAATTTATTGCCTAATGGCAACATGTAATCTCGAATTTGATTCCAGCCCTTGGTTCTCCAGATTCTTATATATGCTATTCTGTTGTAGTATAGCATGCTAGTCTCAGCCATTCGTCCAATTTTTAATCTTTTGGTGTGTTCCTTTTCTTAAGACTTTATTGTATTGTTGTCTCTGGACAAATACGTTAAAATAATCTTCCCTGAGGTATTGTAGAATGCTAATCTCCAGTAAATGTTGTATGTGTCCTAGTTCCAATCTTTTGCATTGTGCTTTTTCTTAGGTATTCATACATTATTGGCCTTTGAGAATTAACAGCAGTGTATCTGGCAGGTAGGTACTTGGTTAAATTAAACTGAAGCACTGCTTACTCTTGTTGAGTTATCAGGATCGAGAGATGTTTTAGATGACTTGCACCCTATCGCATGTTGATCATCGTAGAGATGTTTTCCTGACAAAGGCTTGACCCGTTATCAGTGAAGAATTATACATGTACTGTACTGCCTCAGAACTAGCTGCTGGATAGGGTCAGGTTCTTTCAGTAGGAAAAGACTGATGCTCTTTGCAAGGGTTGATACTTTTTGTGGGGGATTTTGTCTCTAAAAGGACTGAGATCCTTTCAACTTGTAGAACTATATATGTTCTAGGTTTTTATGCCCTCTAAAATTGTTCGCTAAACAAGATCAATTTATTTTTCTCGTTATTATCAGGTTTTGTTGGTAATGCGGTATCATCCCTGCTTCCCGATTTAAGATTTCTGATAGGTGAGATGTTGAATCTGCTCATTATGGCTTGCAATTATTGTTATTGTTGTGTGTTCAAATATACTCTAGACTAAGAAATGATATAGATATGAGCATAACTTTTTGTAATTAGATCAAACCAATAATGAGATATCTTGTTTTACATCATATCAAACTGAACTTTCTTTTAAATTTGTTTCCACCATATTGATGTTGATCAAGTGAAGTATGATGTGGAATTTAAACTCTGAAGACTGATGTACACAGCACAGGTGTTCATTTGACGACTTATCAGTTGTTATTTCTGAAAACTTATTTATTGGTCCTGTCTGCTTTCATATCATTGTTCTTATTCTCATCATTGTTGATATTATATAACCAAAATGTGCATATTCTCATCATCCTTTTGTTTTTCCAAAAGAAAAGAAAGAAAGGAAGAAACAGGAAGAAAACTGCAATGCCCTGTACATTGAATCTACTGATCTTTAAGAAAAGATAAAAAGAGAGATTTCTTGAGATGAAAGCATCCAAATTCTAGCTAACTAGATTTTATGCCCAGATTATTTTCCCCTTCTTTTGCTCCTATGAGATGCAAGTGAAGGGCAAATGGCATTCATTTCTTCACCGGATTTAGTTTCTGCAGCAATATTTTGAAGGCACCAAATGGAATTTTTTGTCATAGGCGTATATTCATGCTCATTGTTAAGTAAACAGGAGTTGGGAAGAGAACTCTCTGATGCTGCAAAGTCTAAATGACCCTACTACTACAGCGCACAAATCAAGGAATTTGTTTGTCAGCAAAACTGATCTACAAGGAGAACTAAACACTCTTCATCTCTTTCTACCTTTTCACAAGACTATAGTTATTAATGGTTCAGAGACAAGAGAGAATTAGAAAGGAATCGTAACCTCTTAATGTCACCTATCGTATCTCGGAATCGTAACCTCTTAATGTCACCTATCGTATCTCGTGTATGTGTTCATGACCGTTACATCACATAAATATCATGTCATTAGTCTCTATGAGGTCCTATCCATTTATAGACGAGAGTAGAAAGTCTATGATAAATAATTAGGAGAGTTCCTCCCATCAAGGATACACCCTAAGAAATCCTATTATAATATAAACTTTTTTTTTATTAACTAATATCCGTTATCAGAATCTAATCAATTTTATTATATATTTTATTTAATTATAAAGGGTCACATATTTGATATTCTCTCACTGACCCTATCCAGCAGCTAGTTCTGAGGCAGTACAGTACATGTATAATTCTTCGCTGATAACGAGTCAAGCCTTTGTCAGGAAAACATCTCTACGATGATCAACATGCCATAGGGTGCAAGTCATCTAAAACTTCTCTTGATCCTGATAACTCAACAAGAGTAAGCAGTGCTTCAGTTTAATTTAACCAAGTACCTACCTGCCAGATACACTGCTGTTAATTCTAAAAGGCCAATAATGTATGAATACCTAAGAAAAAGCACAATGCAAAAGATTGGAACTAGGACACATACAACATTTACTGGAGATTAGCATGCTACAATACCTCAGGGAAGTTATATTGACGTATTTGTCCAGAGACAACAAAACAACAGTCTTAAGAAAAGGAACACACCAAAATATTAAAAATCGGACGAATGGCTGAGACTATCATGCTATACTACAACAGAATAGCATATATGAATCTGGAGAACCAAGGGCTGGAATCAAATTTGAGATTACATGTTGCCATTAGGCAATAAATTTAGAGATGCTCTATTGTCACATTGAAGCACAAGTTTGTAACATAAAAACAACCTGCATAATTTGACATATTAACTAGACTTCCAGATCAACTTTTTGTTTGATAGCTATTACAGCTTTGACAAAAATAAGACACCAAACAAAGGATGCAAAAGAAACATATAGTAGCAAAAGCCAAAAAAGTTGAAATGTGGATTTTCATAGTACATAAACCAGTATAACTACATATCATAAATATAACCAAAGATTCTAACTGTTAGAAATATCTTGACTTCAGTCTGACTGTGGGTAAAACACATTTCAGGAAGGCTGAAATTGGTGTCATCTGACAGCGGACAGAATACATTTTGGGAAGGGAGAAATTGGCCTACAAGAAGTCAGCAAGTCTCATTTCTCTTTCATTACCTGAAGGCAGGCAATGGTTGAATTCTCCCTAGCAAAGTAACTCCTAGAATTATATTTCCTTTTCCAATTTGTTCAACATATCCTTACTAATGTAATCAAACTAGCACACTGCAGATGCCAACCTCTGGAAGGTAACACATACTAAAAGATCAATTTTCAAGAACCTTGTTAATCCACTTCTTTTGCACCAAACACTCCGCAAATGGAGCTAACACCCCAAGTATTTTTTATTGATAAGAACAATTTATGATCGATACAACACAACCTCTGGACAGTAACACCTACTAAAATAGCAATTTCCGAGATCACTGCTAATCCACTTCTTTTGCACCAAACACCCTGTAAATGGAGCTAACAATCAAGTACTTTTGATTGATAAGAACATTTTATGCACCGAACACTCAATATGACCCAACCCAAAAAATGAGAGGATCACACCCTCCGTAAACTCATGATCCAGACATCTGTAATGCACAGAGCACAATAATAATATTCATTGACAATAATGGAAAATGGATCCCATCAAGTCTCATCATTATTACTGGCGTACACATCTAACTGTACTTTTATTAAATATCAGATAACAATCTTCACATTGCTAGAACCGAACACTTCTCAATCCTTAGCTCCCCAGCTATGGATCATCTGAAATATGTAATTTTCAGATCGATAGGGATTATCTTAGTAGAAACAAGACGTCAAGAAATATAGTTGTGTCTCATGCAATCAACTAAAGATAAGAATAATAATGAAAAATAGAATAAATTAGAATAAAAGATCTCACAAATTCATCATGAGAAAAGCACATCCATCAATGCACTTTGCTGCATCGGAACTCGTCCGACTGCTCAGGATGAAGCAACCTCCTTATAGACTAAATTCATATCACATTCCCTGCTATTAGTCCATTACTAGGATCAAGTGGTGCCGGGAAACAGTAGAAATATGTCTTTCTATAGTTGCAAGGAATATCTTATAAGCTTTTTTGACAACTGATAATCCCTTTCAAAATTGCCTACAAATAATGACAATGTTGTTCAATCATCCATATATGTGTATATCAACATGCTGCACAACCATGCAACAACATCCTTTCACATGCTCAAGCGTCCAGCTTATGCATCATGGAACTTCTAACAAATATTAATATGCGTCAATTATAGGCTATAATAGACGCATCAATATAAAATTGATTGCCAAAAGAAATATGAACTAATAACAGCATATTAAAATTTCATCATGTCAGCATAAAGAGAGTCTAGGTTTTATGAGGCACCTAACACTATATTGCTCATCCAAATTGGATACAGAGTTCAAAAAAGTTATTATCGATTTACAATTCAGTCCTTGAAATTTACAATCATTTCTTCATTACATTGCAAACCAGTCCCTAGCAGTCTTAATGGGCAGGACCTTAGGCAGCCACGTGGAACTTGGTCTCAGAGGCAGGACCACATGGAGTTGGCCAGTCTGAGCTGAAGTGCATGAAGTTTAGACCACCCCCGTACTCAAATGCTTAAATTGGTAAAGGACAACTTGTATATTCCAGTGCTTAAATTGTGAACAAAACATTGTCAATACGGAAAGTGTGGTTTCCTTCATAAATTTAAGAGTTACAACTTCATTCTCAAGAAGACAGTCAGCTTCAAACTATCATGGTGGCAACCTGGTATTCATTAAGGTTTTGCATTTATAAAGAGAGAAATTTCAACTGAATTGACCGATCAGCAAGAGGAAAGAAGTGGTTCACACTAATCACTTAAGAAAGAGAACAAAGTTTGATAAACAAAATATACAAAAAATTGAAACGCAACCTCATCTCCCTTTTTTGGGTTTTGGGTTTGGTTTTGGATAGGAGGGACTTTAGTAAATTTATATAAAAGGTGACCAACCCTTGCCCTAAATCAAAAGCCTCATCATCCAGCTCAAAATCACCAAAGCATCCTACCATACCATCCAAAAGAATCCTACTTCTTATCATTTGAAAAAATAACCAAAACTCGAAACCTAAATTACCAAATATCCATAGTTAAATCAATTCAAAACTTCACGTGTCCAATAACCTACATAAGTCTGATATCTTCCAGTAGACTTAAAACGAATGGGACAAGAATAACAATTCCATGTGGCGTCTACACAAGTGATTATCAACAAGCAATTAACTCTATCAGCAATATCATCACAAATCTTCTCAACATTCTTCATTTTCTTACTACATGTAAGCATCCAAACTCATCTTACATTCACAGAAAACGAAGTAAATGGCAGGAATTATTTGGTTGCAAACTGTAGTTCATGTTATGCGGATAGTGGAAAATTGGAACCTGGAAACATAACTTGCTGGTACAAAAGCTTGTGCTATGCATTATGCATTTCCACGATCAAATGCAGTTCTGTTTTTGGGGACTCCATTATACAACTCAACGAGTTCTGGATACTCCTTGTAGCAGTTGACGAACTTCTCCACAAATTTCTTCTTTGGATATTTCATGTATGTAGACATATTAAGGTTACTGATGCAAACTCCCCTAGACTTCAGGCCTGTCACAATCTGATGCCTTGGCATCAACCTTTTCTCCAAACTGCACAACAAAATATCTGGCCGAAGTGCAAGATGAGATGGAGCACATCCTGCTTCATTTACCAAGAACTCCA